CCCGGTCCTTCTCCCACCCAGCGCCACCGAATTCTCAGGCCTCGCCCCCATGCCGCGCCCCCAACCCCGACCCCTGCCACGCCCCGGGTGTCCATCAGGGCAGTCTCTACCGGGCGGGGTGGGTGTGGGGGAAGGGGCCGGTCTGGACTAGGGCCGGGAGTTCTTGGCCGAGAGCTCGCACTCCAAGCCCCTAGCTCCAGGCACAACGCAGGTGTCAGCAAACTACTCAAGGGGGGTGCGTGCGTGTGCACGCGTGCGAGATACGACGGCCTCGGCCCTCCGCCTGGTTCGTGGCTGACGTCTACCCCACTGACTTTTGGAGGCAGGGGCCGGCGTAGAGCTGGGCAGGGGGCTCATGTGCGTGCCAGAGTGTATTTGTGTCTGGTGTGTAGTCATCCTAGTGGGAATCTGTGGGGTCTCGGGTGTGAGGTAGCTCAAGCTGATAACACGCTTCTGAGAGGCTGCGGTTGGGAGGGCGAACTTCCCAAAGGGACTCCCTTGGCTGGGAGGGCAGCGTCAGAGGTGAGCGCGCCCCTCGGGGCCGCCCACTGCAAGCAGTTGTGTGAGGGTGTGGCAAAAACTTTTACAAAATGAGGTCACGCGGTCGTGCGTGTGTGTCCAAGTGTGAAGCCTTACTCGTTTCAGGGGATGGGGGAATGGGGATGGAAGTTAACACCTGCTACCTCAGCCAGGTCACCGCCTCCCCACTTGTAGGCCGCTTCTCCCGTCTGAACGACGAGGGGAGGACCAGCCCAAAGGACTGGGAAATCTGGGGAGAGAGGGGAAGGCAGGAGAGGCGTTTTCTGCCCTGCTCAGGTGTGGGCCCAGGACCGGTTTCCTCTGCTCCCGCTGCACGTTCACTCCCAAGGGCACCCCTGCCAAGGGGTGAAGAGGGAAAGGCCACGGAGATCGGCCCTGCGGAGCTGTGAACAGAGGCCAGAGGGTGGAATGCAGAGCGCACCTGCAGGGGCGGTGCGGAGATTCGTCCTGGCTGGGCTGGGCGGGGCCCGAGACGTACCCCTTCCCTGCACAGAAAGTTGAGCTTCCTTCCACACCCGCGGGGAGCGCTCAGAGCTCCCGAGTCCTGGCCGACTGACCCTGGTTTCCACAGGATCCCTGGGTCTGGGTGGGGAAGGGGTTGTAATTTCACAGCGGTCAGGCTTCCGGCATCCAGAAGGGTACCGGGGTCGCCGCGCCCTGACAGCTCGCGGACTTGTCCGGTTTGTTTCGTTTGGGACTTAAAATCAGTTTTCCACCTCTGTCTGAAAGAGCTGGGGGCGCAGTTAGCCTGAGGCCCGGAGTGCAATGCGGCGCCGCCGGGCCGCTGTCGCTCAGCAGTCCGCCAGCGTGCGGTACCCGGGGGCGCTGCCTGGGCCACTCAGCCACCAGGTGCAGGAAGATGGAACACACTACAGAAGCTGACCCTTCTCTCTCCCAAACCCAAGCTCTGGTTCCAGGGAGGGGTCGTCCAGGGAGCCAGCCGCCAGGTTCCGGGCGCTACAACACTCTCGGGCCGAGTGGCGCGCCCTGGCGCCCGGGCCCGTCAGCTTTTTGGAAACGCCCCTGCTGGTCCTTCCGCACGTCCCGCACAGGGCCCCGCCAGCCCACCCTACGGGGCGGCTTTGGCCGCAGAGATGTGCAGCCGGACTCGCTCCTAGCGCGAGGTCCCTTGGTGTGCAAACCAGGGGCCCCGTGGCTTCCACTCGTCCCCAGCCCCGGGGGTTCAGAAGCCGCGAGACTGGCTGGAGGCGGTGCCCCGAGCCGAGCCTGTGCGCCCAGTAAATCTGCGCCAAGGACGCTGTCGGCTAGATCCCCGCCACCCTTGAAGTCCGAAAGAACAACACGAAAAAGCACGGTCTTGAGAGAAAGGCGGACAACAAACAAGCTCACATTTTTTTTTTCTCATTATTAAAAAGAATTGTCTTTACTTCGAAGAAGAGAGAGAGAGAGAGATGCAGAGGATGGAAATGGGAGTGACAGAGCATTAAGGGGAAGACGAAAGCACTGGGATGGAACGGAGTAACAGAACCAACCCGCCCGAGGACCGCGGCGTGGGTTCCAGACGTCGCCATTCCTAGAGGAAACAAACTCCCAAACCTGTTACCTCTTCTGTAGATCAGGCGGCTCCTGGGGCCGTGACGTCAGGACCAGGAAAGTGAAGCGAAAGTTCCCAGAGCTCCTGTATGCCCCCAGCAGCGACCTCGCCTTCTTTCTGGCAGGACCGACCAGGGCGCGACCAGCTTGCGAGACACCTGGAGAGATAGAGGCCACTTTTTACTTTGGTGTAAAAATGGCAAAATCATAACAATGGTAAACTATTCTTCGTTAATCAAAGACAACGACCAAAATCCCAAACCACTGCCACAAAACAAGGCTGGAGTTGCTGGAGAAATGAGATGGGGAGAGCGCAGAAGGGGTCTGAGGGCAGGATGGTGGGGTGACGGGACAGCTCCCAGAGCGTGCTGGACGCCTACAGGAAGCGCCAACTCTTCTCTGGGCTCCTCCTTTAAACGCGCAAAGTTTCCACACAGGCCAAACTTACCCTCTGCGATGCCTACCGTAACAGGACTTTAAAAATAAAGAAGCTGAACTTAGAAGGCAGTAGAAAAACCAAAACCAAAAATGCCCCCAACTACCCCAAGTGCGTGAAACTTAGGAGCAAGTCGGAATAAAGCCGGAAGGAGGCACAGAAAGAACGCCTCGGCTTGGGTGCCACGGACACCTTCCCCAGCCCGCACTCTCTGTCCACCCCCACCCTGCCCGCGGTAATTGAATTGTCACCTGCCCCTATCCCGCCCCAGGTCTCCAGGGCCACTAGGGGAAGCTCGGCCTTGCCAAACGCCCCCGGCCAGTGCAAGTGGGCGCCCCAGAAGCCCAGGGGTAATGCATGTCTACGCAGAGGCGCACCGGACACGGTAATTAGGAGTAATTCACACGCTCTCGGGCGCACGGAAGCTACTTGTCACGGTATTTTCAATGGCTCCTCTCTGCCCACTTTTTCCCCCCCGTTCCTGGCGCGCCCCCTCCCCTCCTCGAGGCACACAGTGGAGCTTTTGGAGTTTCGAATCTTTCGGACACTGTAGAACGAGGGGCTCCCCGGGCGTGGGTCCGGCCAATCAGAGCGCCGTCTGCCTCCCCTGGCCAATGGCAGACGCCACATTGTTGTCCAATTCTGTCTAATGGAGCCCTAAGGAGCAACAATAGAGCGGGCGAGAGGCTCATTGAGAGTCTGGCAGCGCCGGGCAACTGGGCCCCGGCTGTGCGCAGCGTCCGGCGCGCACCTCGAGGGGACACGGCGCTGCGAGAGCTGGCTCGCCGCTGCCAACCGGCCAGCCTCGAGCCCCGCTCGCCGAGGGGAAGGTGGGACAGCACTGCTTTCTGAGAGGGGTCCGGAAGTTCGGAGATGGTGACTGAAGGAGGGTGACGTGGTCAGATAAGGGGCCCGGGGCAAGGGGAAGAGGCCCAGAGCGCCAGCGTCGCGAGTGGAGCTGGGAGGCGCGTGCGGCGCCGGCGGCGGCGGAGGACCCCCGAAGCCCAAGGCAGGTAGTTGAGGGGCGCAGCAGCAGTAGAAGAGGCCACTTTGGTCCGGGGCCCCAGTGGAGGAGGCCGAAGCCTGGGGTGGCTTCAAGCACGGACTGTGAGGCCTGAGGCGTGCGGGGAGGGAGTCAGGGTGCTCAAGGAAGAGGGCTGCGATTCTCGGACCGAGTCGCCTGAACTCGGTTCCTGGCTGTGGCGGGGACACAGGTAGGGGAGTGGCCCGGAGGAGGCTTCCCCGGAAGCTGAGGGCCGGGCCTGCTTAGGCCTGTGGGGCTGCGGCACAAGGGGGACTCCCGCTTCCGCGGAGACCAATTCTGAAGGCGACGAGTTCTGGAGGCTTCACTGTGGCCTGCTGGGTAAACCAAGTCCCAGACACTGGGCTCCGAGAACAGAACGCGGGAAGCTGCGCTCGAGGGCGGGGAGGAGGGGTTGTGGGACACCAGAAGGGGGGGCGTGTCTAACGACTCTGTCCCTAATCCAGGAGGGATGGGACCTGGGAGAGCAGAATGAGGTGGCTCCCGGCAAAGCAATGCCTCCAGTAATGCCTAACTTTGCGCAGTCTATTTCTTTCCTCTCTAACCACCTCCGCGGACTACAGGCTAAAAACTGTGCCAAAGGCTTTGCACCGCCTGCTCGCCAGCCTTTCCCTGGGGAATTTTGTTTTGTGCCCCACCGGTACCCCGCCCCCCCCCGGGTACCCACATACCCAAGCAGTCGATTTGTGAATGTTACCCTGCCCTTCAAGCCGATCCCAAGAAAGTTTCTTTACGTTTTCCTTAGTCCTCCCCAGGCCTCCTGAATCCCGCTCCACGCCCGTTTATCTCGCGCCTCTCTGGAGGCCTTCTAGCGCTCAGCATGTTGACGGCTCCGGGGCTCCGGGGCCTAACTCTCCCTGTGTTGACTGATGTTTCCTAGCCCCCACCTGCAAACGCTAGTCTGTTCCCGATTTTGCTCAAATTCCCCTGCGCCCACCCACATTAAAACAATAAGCAAAACCCCACGCCAGCCAACTCAATTCTGTACCAAGTTACCTGTCACCTTTCCTTCACCCTTCCACCCAACTGCACGTCTCGCTCGGAGTTTCCTATTTTGCCTTTGGCTTTAGCCTGTTGGGCCTAAATTTCTGTCTCATCGAGAACCGTCGTGCAAACATCCCTCTCCACCCAACTCCCCACAGTAAAGCTAAGCTTCGGGGACGTTTTCTTTTGCAACATCTTGCCACATGTATCTGCACCGGTGACTTTCAAACTTTGTCTTTTTACTCCCCACCCTGCTCCGGTGGAATTATTGAGCCAAACAAAATGGTACCTCCCTCCCCACTCACTTCAGATCCAAGGGCGGCTGTGACGGGGTGAGGTGAAAGAGCTGTTTCCCGACGACGCTCGGAAGGCACCTCCTCCCAGAGTTAGGCAACCACTAACTAACCCAACTTCCACGGCCCAAGGTTTGCTCTCAGAGCTGGCGATCCTCGAGGCTGCGCATCAGCCCGGGGCGCAAGAGCGCCTCCTCACCCAACTCTCTCTCCCTTCCCCATTCCCCCGCCTCCCTCCGCATCAGGTCCAGCCATGGAACTGCGCTCTGAGCTCCCCAGCGTGCCCGGCGCGGCGACGGCAGCTGCGACTGCGACAGGGCCGCCCGTGGCATCCGTGGCGTCCGTGGCAGCGGCCGCAGCTGCGGCCGCGTCGCTACCGGTAAGCGTGGCGGGCGGCCTGCTGCGGGCGCCGCCACTGTTGTTGCGAGCGGCCGAGAAGTACCCGCGGACCCCAAAGTGTGCTCGTTGTCGCAACCACGGCGTCGTGTCGGCGCTCAAGGGCCACAAGCGCTACTGTCGCTGGAAGGACTGCCTGTGCGCCAAGTGCACGCTCATCGCCGAGCGCCAGCGAGTCATGGCCGCACAGGTGGCGCTACGCAGGCAGCAGGCACAGGAGGAAAACGAGGCGCGCGAGCTACAGCTGCTCTATGGCACCGCTGAGGGCCTGGCGCTGGCCGCCGCTAACGGCATCATCCCACCCCGGCCTGCCTACGAGGTCTTCGGTTCCGTGTGTGCCGCGGACGGCGGGGGGCCCGGAGCTGGAGCGCCCGCAGGGACTGCTGGCGGTGCGGCAGGCGCAGGGGGCGCAGGTGAGAGCGCGCTTAGGCCGAGACCGGGGAAGCAGGAGTCAGAGCTCCGGGGCGCACGGGCTGGGGACAGGTGTCTGTGCCAAGAGAGAGTACAATCTCTGTCCCCAAAGTCCTAACAGCCCAGAGTTCACCGTGCGACCATCCCCTTATGTTGGGCTTATCTACTACATCTCCTTTTCCCTTTTCTGGAACACCGGCCCTAGTACAGATGCTCTCTCCATCCTTCTCTATCCGAAGGCAGGTCTTACTTCCTGGCTGTCCGCGCCGCGTCTTCCCGGAGCACTGACTCCTGGTGACTCTGCGCTTAACCGCAGCACCCTTCCCTCTGCTCCTTTCCAGCTCTCTCCAGATACCCGCACTCCTAGCTAGCCCCACCCTCTATTCTATCAGGCTTCTAGGGAGAGGGTGGCAGTTAGGCCAGGGCCTCGGGAGTAGGGGGTCGGGGCTCAGCGCTGTATGGAAGAACTTCTTAGGTTTCAACTGTGGGAAGTTTAGGTTAGAACTATTTCTACTTTTGCCTGTAGAGAGGCTTGGAACCTTCTAGATGCCCAAGGTGTCCTCCCTTGGCAGCACAAGCAGGCCAGGATTGGGTCTGGGATACGGGGAGTTTGGTTTTCTATGCAGTGTGTGGGATAGGTCGAAGTGCAGAGGGGCTCTGGGTCAAACCCTGGACCGGGCCGCTTTTGAGATGGGACAGAGGGAATGGGGAGGGGGAGGTACTTGGGAGGGGTTAAGTAAGGATGGAGGTGCGATGCCTCTGGTTTACAGAGCGCGGTAGGTTGCAGTTCTGGGTACAGTTGCAGTTCTGCGCGCCCCTGGGCAGGCACTGAGAGGCCAGCGGGGCTGTGGCAGCTCTGAGATGCTGGGGCAAAAAAGGGGGGTGGGGTGGGGGAAGGAGGGCGGTGTGTGTGTGTGTGTGTGTGTGTGTGTGTGTGTGTGTGTGTTGCGGGGGGAGGGGGAGAAGAAATCTCAGGGCCAGAGAAGCCTGGGATCCCCTCCTCACACGTCCTGTTCTCCCCTCCCAGAGGCCAAGTTACAGAAGTTTGACCTGTTCCCTAAGCCGCTGTTGCAGTCCGGCCGCCCGGGCAGCCCGCAGCCGCCGCCAGTGAAGCCCTTGTCGCCCGACGGCGCGGACTCGGGTCCCGGGACGTCTTCCCCAGAGGTGCGGCCTGGCTCTGGCTCGGAGAATGGCGATGGAGAGTCCTTTTCCGGGTCGCCCCTGGCTCGCGCCTCCAAGGAGGCCAGTGGCAGCTGCCCCAGCAGTGCTGGCCCCAGTGGCGGCGGCGAGGAGGACAGCCCGGGCTCTGCTAGCCCTCTGGGCTCCGAATCCGGTTCGGAAGCTGACAAAGAAGAGGCCGAGGCTTCCTCGGCATCAGGGCTGGGAGGAGTTCCCGGGCCACGGCAGCGGACACCGCTGGACATCTTGACCCGCGTCTTTCCGGGCCACCGGAGAAGCGTTCTGGAGCTGATACTGCAGGGCTGTGGCGGCGACGTGGTGCAGGCCATCGAGCAGGTGCTGAACCACCATCGCGGAGGCCTGGCGGCCGGCCTGGGCCCCGCTACGCCCTCGGATAAGGCGGTGGTGGGCGCGGCGGCAGCTGCGGAGGACGCGTGGCCGGGCCGCGTAGACGCCGCGGTGGCTGCAGCCGCGGGAGGCCCGGGGTTGCCCGCGCCACTGCAAGCTGGGCCCGCAGCACCCCCGCACCACAGACCCTTGCTGGCTGGCGCCATGGCGCCCGGGGCGCTGGGTTCCCTGAGCAGCCGCTCGGCCTTCTCGCCGCTTCAGCCCAATGCCAGCCACTTCGGCGCCGATGCGGGCGCCTACCCGTTGGGCGCGCCGCTCGGCCTCAGCCCCCTGCGCCTGGCCTACTCGGCGGCGGCGGCGCACAGCCGCGGCCTGGCCTTCATGGCGCCCTACTCCACGGCGGGCCTGGTGCCCACGCTCGGCTTCCGCCCTCCTATGGACTACGCCTTCAGCGATCTCATGCGTGACCGCTCGGCCGCCGCGGCCGCGGCTGTGCACAAGGAGCCGACCTATGGCGGCAGCCTGTACGGGCCAATGGTGAACAGCGCCCCGGAAAAGCAGTAGGGCCAAGGTCCCAGCAGCCGGGAGAACCCGAAATGGGAACCTCCGCCCCTACCTGCCTTGTCCCCGTGGACTTTTGGGGCCCTCTTCGGCCGCGCGCGCTCTGCGCCCTGGCTGGGGTTCTGCTGCCCCCGAGGTGATTTTTCGGTCTTGTTTTGAAGGGGGAAGGGAGGAGGAAGAGGCTGATCAAAAGGGAGCAGCTACGGGGCAGGTGGTCTCGGCCCGGGTGAGCGGCTACCTCGCTGTTAGCTGTGTCCACCCCGCCTGCGCTCCCCTGTGAATGGCAGGATTGTCCCTTCGGTGTCTCCCATGACCCCCGTTTACATTTTTTTAAAAAAGATATTCGCTCTAACAAATATAAATTTAGGATGTATAAATCTCTTGGCACTGAGTCGAGTCTTTGGGACACATATATATCAATTGTAAAAAAAAAAAAAAGGAAGCAAGTTCTAAGGTGCACTTTCCTCGTTGCGGTATTTGTCGCTCTCTTTGTTGCTTATGCGGATAAGCATGGGTTTCCTTGGTGCAGTGTGAGTTTTTATATATGTATAAATCTATATATAATCTATACATATATATACAAGCCAGTGTATAATGTTATAAAATGGAATTCTAAGTTATTAATTGTAATTTGTAGGTGACCTCGGTATTAACGTGAAAATCCTTCAAAAAACAAACAAGAAAAAAGGACAAAATGGAAAAAAATTAGGTTATGCGCGCAATTGTGCTTATCAGGTTTTCTAGGTTATCTATATTGTCAACTCGGGAGTAACCCTGCCCACGCGCCCCTCGCCTGCGGCCGGTCTCTGCTGGGGGGCCGTCGGGGTGCGCACCGAAGCTGGAGCGGGGCGACGGGTGACTGAGCTAGAGCCGCCCGCCCACCCGCCGGCGCCCTCCTCGCCTTTCGGGACTCGCGGGACGCCCCGGCCGAAGCGCCGGCAGCGGGATCGCTGCTACGGAGAACCGCTCATTTTGTGCTTTCCTTTGCATAGATGCGAGCTAGAAATAAATGTTATTTTCTAAGAAAACAACACCGCATCCCGTCGCGCTCCTGGGGCGGTCGGGTGGAAGAGAGCTTGATTTTTCCGCGTGCGCCGCGGGGACTGGGGAGACGCTCTCCTAGTCTCTTCCAGAGCCCGATCCAAGGGCGTCCGGGGAGCGGAAACGACCTGTGGCTCCTGGCAGAGCCCGTCTCCTCCAACCCCTCCGAGGGGGTGCGCGCCTCGCCGCCCGCCGAGGAGCCGTCTCCGCCGTGCGGGCTCCCAGCCCGCACGCGCCAGGGGCGGCGGGTTCGCCTTGCCATGTCCCCCTTCATCCCCCGCCGCCGGACTGCAGGCCGCCCCTCGCCAGGCTGGGACCTCTGAAGGCCCGGTTCCCGCCTCTCCCCGGGGCGCACCGTGCGCACCACCCATGTCAAAAAGCTTTGGAACGAATGTCAACCAAAGCGAAGGGTTAGGAGGGGCGGCCGCGACCGTCTTGCGGCCCAAGAATTATTGGGGGGGGGGGTGTCTGGATGAGTGGGGGAGGGTTTTTGCCCGAAGCCCAGTAATCCGAGAATGGCTTTGAGGACGCGCCTTCGAGACAAACCTCATCCCGTACTTATTTTGCTTCTCACGCGGAGCGGAGCAAATTAGCGGCTCCTCGACCCCCACCCCCCACCCCATCCTCCTGCTCCCCGACTGGTGATTTCCCCCTCTTGGGGAAATAGGGTGCCCCCTCCCCTAGACTGGGCCAGGCGACTTCCCAAGGTAAACTTCTGGGGCCGGCTCGAGTTCCGCCAGGCGGTGAAACTTAATAGCAGGACAAGAAAACGGTTTAATAAAGAAGGGCTTTAATGGGGAACTAATTTGATTGAGTTGCCTAATTCCACTTTAATTGGAAAGGGGGGTTGGCTGTTTGGTTATAAAGTGCGAGGGTGAAGACGGGGTGGAAGTGGGGGGAGAAGGATTGAGAGGAGCAAGGTGCGGGCAAAAGAGAGATGGGGTGAGAAACGGAACGGAGATAGCAGAAAGATGGTCAAAGAGGAAGGACCGAGGGCGCGAGTTAGAAGAGAGGACGGCCCAAGCGCGGACCCGCCTCCTCGCCCCGCGCTCCGCAGCCCCACGCAGCGCTCGGCCCGGCGCCGTCCCAGTTGGACCTTGTGGCAAACCAAGATCAAGCTGGACCCTGCGCTGAGTCCTGACCACTGGGTTCCCGCCGGTGGTTAGGAACGATAGGGGACTGGATGGGTGGAGGCTTCCCGGCCCGCCCGACAGGCCCCCCAAGAACTTTCGGAGGATTTCAGGATTGTTACTTCTAGTTCATCCTAAATAAGGTTGGGGGGATCCAGAGGTCGATTATCGCCGGTCCCATTTTACAGAGGACGAAACTGAGGTTCAAAGTGAGCCCGGGACTTGTCCCACCCAAACTCTCCTTTCTTTTTCCAAGTCCACTGGGCTCCCTCCGTCCGCTCTCACCCAGCGGTCTCTGGGTCGAAGGCTGCGGGAGCGCTGCTGAAACGCCCCTCTCCACTTGGCAGCGGGACGGGAGCGGCGGCTGGCCGGGAAGGCGCAGACAGCCTCGGCCCTCTCCCCGGCCGCCCACGCCTTCGGAATCACCCGTGGGTAGTGGGAACGCGAGGGCGAGCGAGTTCATACCCCGGGCTCCTGCACTCCCCGCTGGCGCGGCTTGACGGCCGGGCCCGCGCTCCAGCCCAGGGCGGGCAGTGGGTGCCCTCGAAAGGGCTACCGCGCCGGGCCCAGGACCCCGCAGCCCGAGCTGCTTCCCGCGTGGGCGCCTGGGGCTCTGGGAGTTTCCACCTAGAGCTAGTTTCCACCTAGAGCCGCAGCTCCACGCGTCCACTGCTGCGTCCCCAAACGACCGCGGGCCGATACCTCTCTTGCTTCAGAAGGGGAAGGGGGAAATGGAGCACCCTTGCCGGCCGCATGGCGGAGCCGAGCCAGCCGGACGCTGGGCACCTGCGCGCTGCGCCACAGCTCCTGCCCTTACAGTGGGAAACGCTCCTACGGTTAAAAACACAGCCCCCTGCCTCGACCGGCTGCTCGCCCCGTCCCCTTTGCGCGGCCGTGTCCAGTCCTAAGCGAACTCCCCAGCAGGAACCCTGCTCCGCAGGCGAGCCCGCGGAGGATGACTTGGATCGGCAAATATTGACCAAGTGTGTCCTGACTGTAGCAGGCCGGGCCCCATTTGCGGGCAACACGCGCCCTGTCTGCCTACCCAGGCTGGCGGGCATTGGGGCGACGGGGTGGGAGCAGCCACCGACAGGGGAGGAGGTGGCCCGGGAAGGGCGCTGCACCTCAGGTTTCTCCTTAACTGCTCAGTGTCTCTTTCTGGGCGCTTGTGAGCATGAGGTGAAACAGTGTGGGAACCCCTCCACTAGGAGCTCTGTGCGGCCTCGCACAACCCTCCTGTCCTTGGGCCTAAGTGTTCATTCCCACAGCTCTCCCGCCCTTGGCCTGCGCCTTGTGCCTTTGCACAGAGGTGGAAGCAGCTCTGAGGCGAGAGGGACGGAGTGGGACCTTGGAGGACCTTGTGCGCCACGGAAAGGGGTCTGGTTCCAGAGCCACGGAGCCGAGGGTCCTGGACAGTAGCGCAGGGTGAAATATTGTACGCATTTGGCAGATTCTGGAAGAACTGCGGATCCCGGCCCACATCCCAGGAGCAAGCAGTGAGGAAAGGGCTACAAAGTGAGGAGTGGGAATGGGGAGAGAGGAGATCCCAGCCACGACCTGTGTGAGAGCAGGGAGGAGAGCACCCAGCTGAGTCCCAGGCGAGGACCTGACTGATTTGCACTCTGGGCTGTGGATGTGAGCCCCTGGAGCAGGTTGAGGGGGAAAAGGTTAGACATTCACCATAGGAGAGCCTCAGAAAGTTCATGAAAAAATAGGTATTATCAAGAAATTTCATCTGGATTACGAGAACACAGAATTTCCTTCATGGATGCCATGGGCCTGGGACAATCCTTGCCTGGTTCCCATTTCTGTTCATACCAGAAGCACTAGTCTCCTTAAATCATTCTCCCAAAGCTTTGCACCCCGTGAAGATCTATCCTTGGATTTGCTGTAACACCAATGAATCACATTTCTCTCCACTTCTGGAGCGCTGACTGCAACTGCCTTTCTCCTGCTCCCCTCTGCCTCATCCCTGCCTCACCCCCAGGCCTCAGCATCCTGGGAGCGAGCTCCTGGGGTCCACCTAACAGCCCCGGTGCTTTCCTGCCCCTGTGCCATAGTCGGGACCTCTGCCTGCAGAGCCTTTTCTTTGGCCTTGACTCTGACAGCCACCTTCACCTCCTCAAGACCCGGCGTCACAGGTGGGTTTATTACAACACCAGTGAAGCTTGAACTTCATGGGGATTGTTCACCTGCACACATCCCTCACAAAGTCTTGTACATTGGGCACAGGATCAAGAAACTTCATTTCTTAAAGCATCAGATCCCTTTAAAAACTACGCTTGCCACTGCCCACATTGGGGATCCCCAAATGTCTGGATTCCTGTTACTGTTGTGGAGCAAAGGACCCTAAAATGTAGGAGCTTAAAACAACCAGTGTTTTTTTTTTATTATTATTGTCTCATTATGAGATCTGGAATGTGGGCGGAGCTTGGCTCCTTTTTTGCAGCATATATTGTTGAGCAAGATCTGTTGATACTCATCTGGTGGATGAAGTGCAGATGGCCACCAACGGTCTCTGATTTGTATGTTGCTTTCTGTTGTGGTTGTTAAAATATCTTGGGGAGGTCTGAGCCTGGGTCACATGTCTGATGCCTCAGGATGGCTGTCTGGAAGTCTGGTTTCTGTGGGATGGTTGAGTGGAGCACCTGGTTTGCAATGTTGCTTTCCCTTGAAGTTGTTAAAACATTTTGGCATTGATTCCTTGATTGATCTCTTGCTATTTTTCTATCCCAGGACCAAACTCATAATTGTGTGGCTGGTCCTACTCCATGTTCTCACCCCTGAAATGGAACAGGAGCTGTTCAACACAACCATATGCACAGACAAGTATGTGGGGGCCAGTGGTCCCGCAGAGGAAGAGGGAGGCTGTAGTGACAAAGGGGGCGTGAGTGCCTGGCAGGCTGGAGCCGTGCTGTGCCTCCTGTGGTCAGCCTTCAGTGACTGGGCTTCTGCTGCAAAACCACACTGTCAGAGTAGCTCACTGTTTGCTATTTCAACCCTAACCGTATTCTAAAAAAACACATTAGGGTAGAAGTTTTACAAAAATGCTTTTCTATTTTCT